TTCTTTTTTCTTTGTTCCTTTTCTTTCCTTCCTTGAGCTCTCTCCCTCTCTCTCTATCTCTGTGGTCGTCTCTGGTGGTCTCTCTGAACTGAAAAAATTCAGTTCAGTCACTCTCTGTGTTTGTCTCTCTCTTTATGTCTTTCTGTCTGTCTATGTTCTCCTTCCTTCTCTCTTCGTCTATCTCTTTCCTCAGTCGATTAGTATTGTGCTAAATATGTTATCTGTGTCTATCTTTCTCGTTTTATGTCTTTCAGTCGGCCTGTCTGTCTGTCTGTCTGTCTAGTTCTCTCTCTCCTCTCTCTCTCCCTCCCTCTCTCTCTCTTTTTCTCTCTCTCTGTTCCACTTCCTCTATTCCTCTCCTCAGTTGTTTTTTACTGTCCTAAATATGTATCATAATAAAACCCATAATAAAACCACTCACAAAAAAAGTTCAGTTCAGTTCCTCTCGGTGTCTATCTTTCTGTTTTTTGTCTTTTTTTTTGTCTTTCTTTCTCTCTTTTTCTGTTTAATAAAGTCGATTGTGTTTTTTTAGGATAGATCTATCTATCAATGTACCTAGATTTCTTTTAGTTACTCCCATAAATTGGATTTTCATAAAACATCTTTTTGTAGTTTTTGTTACTTCAATATAGAAATAACGATATAGAAATTTTCTTTTTCGTTTTTACATTTTAGCTTTCACACTTTTCGAGTGTGTTACATAAATTCGTTGGAAATGAATTTTGTGTTTTCATGACGAGTCTTTCAACTCCGTTAATTTTTAATTAATAGTACAAAAAAAGCATACGAACCGTTTTAACACTACTCATATTTCTTCCTTATTGTAATTATTCGGTGTGCAGACTCACAGACGAGATTAAAAAAGGCGGGCCTATGAACGATAATTTATGAGTCGAATCAGAGCGAATCGGCAGCGTTTTATTACTCTTGCAAGGGATTACGAATAAATTAAAAATATTTATCTAGACCGGTTTATCAGTTTCGCGGCATCCCGAAGTCATCTTCGAAACGAAAACTGCGGTACTTTCTCAAAGTAGCAATAAGTCCCGGATTATACAACATTGGCTGTGACGTTTTCGAATATATTTAAAGATGTTATAAAAATGTAGTTCACAACGTTTCTCACGAATTCATGTTTAAAAATCCTAACCCAGGATTTTGTATCAGGATCCTTTTTTAATAGCCTCATTTTTACACAGCTTGCAGATGTCCTGTCGGCAGCCTATACTTAGTATAAATCATGGGTGGTATTGAGGTCAATAAATTAAAAGTCTCCGGGCCGCTTCCTTATCCCTGATATGTTTGTTTTCTTTGACTTACTTTGAACTTACACTAGATTTTCAAAAATTTCATACTGAAAATTTTGATTTAATTATTACCTTATTGCTTCTTCTTCTTATTTTACTTATGTTTTTTAAACTACTTTTGAGTTTCTCGATCTATGCTATTAATCAAGTCTAGCTCGTTTGAACTTTTTATTTACCCACAATTTATTTAATCACAAAACGGTACTGGTAGTAAAAATATCAAATAATAATTCATAACACGTTCTATTGCGAGATTCCTATCTTTCCCTTCTGCCTGTCTATTAATTTTCTAGCCGACTATGGCTTTAACTTTCCAAAATTAAAAAAGCAGGTATTAATATTTCCCGGTTTATAAAAAATATTGAGGACATATTTTGATATTTTCCCAGGGTAATAGGAAGTGTTCACATATTCACGAGTCGTTTTTGGTAAAATTTTGGATTTTACCTGCGTTGTGTAGTTTCATTAAGACCAGATTTGTTTTGGAAGAAGAATTTTGAAAGTTTATCAATCAACCCTTGAAACCATGACATCAGCATTAATTCAGCAAAAGGTGTGTTGAATCCTTTCTCTCCCTTTCCCTCTCTCTCACCTTCTCTCTCTCTCTCCTCTCTCCCTCTCACTTTCTCTCTCCTTCTCTCTCTCCTCTCTCCCTCCCTCTCTCTCTCTCTCTCTCTCTCTCTCTCTCTCTCTCTCTATATATATATATATATATATATATATATATATATATATATTACCCATTTAGTTTTATCTTTTTATCTGTCTGTCTTTCTTTGAAAAGTTTTTTCTGTATCTCTTTCTATTACTCTGTCTGCCTGTTTCTCACTCATCTTTTTTTTCTATCTCTTATTTGTCTCTTTTTCTTTTGCTCCTCTCTCTCTTCTATTTTTAAATCTATTCTTTAACATTATCTTCTTCCTCTCTTTCTGTACTTTTTCTTCTACGTTACTTTATCTGTTTTTTATTTTTTTTCATGCGTTATTTATAAATGTCTCTCTCTTTTTCTTTCATTTGTCTCGTTTTCTTTTCCTTCTCTCTCTCCTTCTATTTTTTCTCTTGGCATTATTTTCTCCCTCTCTTTCACTATTTTTTCTCCTACCTTACTTTATCTGTTTTTTCTTTTCATTTTTTCATGTGTTGTTTGTAAATCTCTCTCTCCCTCCCTCCCTCTATTTTTCTCTGTTTTATTTATCTCTTTCTTTTTTCCTCCTTGCTCTTCTTCTATTTTTTCCATCTATACCTCCTTCTCTTAATATTATTTTCTCACTCACTTCCACTACTTTTTCCTTCACACTTGTTTTACCTGTTTTTTCTTTTCATTTATTCATGCGTTGTTTATAAATCTCTCTCTCCCTCCCTCCATCTCTATTTTCCATTTTTCTATCTCTTATTTGTCTCTTTTTCATTTTCTCCTTGCTCTCCTTCTATTTTTTTCTTTTCTACCTCCTTCTCTTAAAATTATCTTCTCACTTTCTTTTTCTACTTTTTCTTTCTCTTTTATTTTATCTGTTTTTCTTTTCTTTTTTATGCGTTATCTCTAAATCTCTCTCTCTTTCTCTTTCTCTCTCTCTCTATCTCTCTCTCTCTCTCGTGTTTTTTCTGTATCTGTATCTTCCTTTCTATTACTCTGTCTGCCTTGTCTTTTCATTTTTCTATATCTTATTTTGCCCTTTTTCTTTTCCTCCTCTCTCCTTCTATTCTTCAGTCTATATCTCCTTCTTTAATATTATCTTCTCCCTCTCTTTCTATACTTTTTTCTTTCTCTCTTTTTCTCCCTTACTTTATCTGTTTTCTTTTCTTTTTCTTTCTTATTTTTCTCGTTTTCTTTTCCTCCTCTCTCCTTCTACTTTTTCAGTGTTTATCTTCTTCTCTTAGCATTCTCTTCTCACTCTCTTTCACTATTTTTCCTCCTACCTTACTTTATCTGTTTTTTCTTTTCATTTTTTCATGTGTTGTTTGTAAATATCTCTCTCCCTCCAACCCTCCCTCCCGCTCTCTCTTTTTCTATATTTTATTTGTTTCTTTCTCTTTTTCTCCTTCCTCTCCTTCTACTTTTGCCACCACTACCCCCTTCTCTTAACATTATTTTCTCACTCACTTTCTCTACTTTTTCCTTCACCCTTATTTTACCTGTTTTTCTTTTCATTTTTTCGTGCGTTATTTCTAAATCCCTCTCCCTCCCTCTCACTCTCTCTCTTTCTATTTTTCTATCTCTTATTTGTCTCTTTTTCATTTTCTCCTAGCTCCCCTTCTATTTTTTCTCTACCTCCTTCTCTTAAAATTATTTTCTCACTCTCTTTCTTTATTTTTTCTTTCTCTTTTATTTTATCCGTTTTGATTATCTTTTTTATGAGTTATTTCTAAATCTCTCTCTCTCTCTCTCTCTCTCTCTCACTCTCACCACTTTCATCCTCTTTCTCACACTTGTTTTTTTCTTCCAAGCGTGTCTCTGTCACTTCTAGGTTATAACTTTAGTTACAGAGGTCAGAATGCTTTTGAAGCATGTGGTGATCTACTTAAAGAAACGTGTTTGTAACTTATCTCAGATGACCAAGACGGCTAAGTTTCTCTTTTTGACCTTAAGGAATTTAGTTTTTTAAATTTCTCAGCCCGTCTTTTGAATAATATTATTCGTTTTACACCTTTTATATGAATATTATCAATATTTTTGAGATTTTTCTACTTTAGGATAAGACCGTTTTCATTCTCTGCGTTTTGACACGCGATTTCGGATTTTTTATGAGTAATCTTTGTAAATTGCCCATTGAGCGAGGGACTTCGTGGGTGCTTATCAGATGGTACTTAACGCTGGGAGACCCGGTGACCTTTTCAACCCCGTTCAACCCGATTCGGGCTCATATTTCGGGGTCAGGCTCCTCCGGCTCTCGGCTGTTTTTCAGGGTCAAGAACTTGCCGTCCTGACCCGTTTCCTTCCGGGCTAAAAGAGGGCCTGCCTGATGGGGACAGAGAGATCGCGCCGGGTCAGTTTATGAAGCCGACTTTCGTTTCGCACGTCTACTTCCGTCTGGAAACATGTTTTTTTTAGAGCTTCAATCACCGGTTAGAAGACCAGACGTATTAACCGGATAAATTTCGCGATAGGTCGAAATTGGGGTTTGTTTTGGCGGAAAGATTTAATTATTTTTCTATTTTTTAATAAGGAATGTCAAAAAAAGGGAAGTAAGATTAAGCTCAGGACTTCAAAAAGAACGGGTCAGACTCATTATAATGTAAGAAGTATATAAATTGTACTAATCCCTGGATTGTTGATCAGATGGATTATCCGCCCCGGTGCGCGGGTAAATCCGCGATAGATTGGGATCAGTAGTATTCCCTTGTTTTGAGCGGAAACATCAATTTTCTCAAAACGAGGCGCCCTGAAAACCGTGAAGTTTATGAACAGCATTAAGCCGTGAAAACAGCGACGCTAAACGGACAAAAAAATTTATCGGAATGCTCAGAAAAGTCCTATAAAAATTACTAATCGTATTGAATTTTCCACGTATGAATTAATTTATTTTTTAAAAATTTATATTTAAATATTTTTATGATGTCCCGAGGCTATTGTCATAAGACAGCGTTGTCTAAGTACACGTAAAAGTGTTTTTTTTTAGTTTGGACTTCGCCAAGGGTGGTTTCAGTTGTAAGAAATCTTTTTTCCCCTTTTTCTTGTATTCTCCGACCACCTACCGTTTCGGGAATATAGTCCTCCTGTGTCTGAAGAAAGCGTCCATCATTTTGGACGAGGTGCCGACGTAGTTTGGATCGATGACGAGGCGCATTTGTACGTGAATAAGACCAGACCGACCGGGGAGCTCGACACCGACTGGCTCGAAGACGACTTGGGCCCAAGAAGTGGAGGAGGCCCAGGGAGAAGGGGTTTTGTTTACTTTCTCGGATGGACAGCAGCTCCCGTTTCCCCGCCTCTTCCGACGAGGTTTTCCAGTAGAAGAGCAGTTTCAGACGTCGCGTCGAGTTAGAGCAATCACTTTGTACGAGTAACCAGCACTTACCATAATGCTAATACCATAATAAATTGGCTGCAATTATGGGCTGAATATTTTATTCGTTATTAAAAAGGTTTCTGGTGTTTGTTTATCTGCTTATATATGTATGGTATATTATATGTTATGCTCCATTTTGCCTCACACCTCTCCTACCCTCTCCCTTTCTTTCTTTCTCTCTCTCTCTCTCTCTCTCTCTCTCTCTCTCTCTCTCTCTCTCTCTCTCTCTCTCTCTCTCTCCCAACCTCACTTCACTATTTTTTCATATTATTTATCTTTTTTTCCCTCTATCTGTCTTAGAAGCACACACCTAGCCGTGCTCTTGTTCTTTTTCTCTTTCTCTTTCATTTTTTCCTCTCTCTCTTATTTTCTCTCTGTCCCACACTCTCTCTTTCTTAGCAGCACTCATTTACTTAACTAGGCTTTTTCTCCTTTTTTCTCTCTTACTCTCTCTTTTTCTTTCTCTTCCACTCTTTCTTTCTTTATCTCCCTCTCTTTTAGCTGTAGCCTCTTTCTTCTTTTCCTCTTATCATTCTTCACTTTTCATTCTCTTTCTCTATTTTTACTTCAATCTCTTTCTTATAATACTCTTTGTTGTCAGTCTTTCTTTGAAGCGTTGTTTGGGTCCTTCTGACTCTCTCTCTCTCTCTCTCTCTCTCTCTCTCTCTCTCTCTCTCTCTCTCTCTCTCTCCTCTCTCTCTCTCTCTATCTCTCTCTCTTTCTCTCTCTTTCTCTCTCTATCTCTCTCTCTCCCTCCCTCTCTTTTATCTTTCGATAGAGCACTCACCCATTTACCTAAGTGTGTTCTTCCTCTATCTCTTTTTTTCTCACTCGTTTTATCTTTCTCTCGAGCACTCACCCACTTGACTAATTGTGTTTTCTCGTTTTCTCTTTCTCTCTCTCCTTCTCTTTCTATTCCTCCTTCTCTGTTTCTTCTCTTTATCCTCTTTTTTCTCTCTCTCCTACACTCTCTCTTTCTTAGAATCACTCACTTACTTACCTAGGCTTTTCTCATTTTTCTCTTATTTTCTCTTTTTCTTTCTCCGTTTTTCTTTCTCACTCACTCACTCTTTATCTCCCTCTCTTTTACCTTTAGCCTCTTTCTTCTTCTCTTATCGTTCTTCACTTCTCATTCTCTTTCTCTATTTTTCCTTCAAACTCTCTCTTATAGTACTCTCAGTAGTGTGTGTTTCTTTGAAGCGTTGTTTGGGTCTCTCTTACTCACTCGCTCCCTCTCTCTACCTCTCTTTCTCTCGAGCACTCATCCACTTACCTAAGTGTGTCCTTCCTCTATCCCTATCTCTCTTTCTCTTTATCCACTCTCTCTCTCTCTCTCTCTCTCTCTCTCTCTCTCTCTCTCTCTCTCTCTCTCTCTATTTCTTTTTAACCTTTACGTTCTTTACCTCTTACTCATATCATTTCCCAATCTCATTCTCTAGATGTCTACGACTATACCGACGATACCTTAAACTTCACCTATTGATCCAACATATCATCTCTATTTCCTAGCTATACGCTATACTTAGTTTAAAAATGGTTCAGACAAAAATGACTTGTTAGTAGCATCATCAGTTTTGTCGTACTATCAAATCAGGCTTGATGATTTTTATCGCAATTACTTAATTAACCGATACGTTATGACAGATATGCAATCAGATGAAGCACTGCAATCTATTGTAAAGTGTTTCAATATATTTTTTGTTACGTAAAATATATCGTATGTATTGTTAATGACATTTTCAGTGTCAATTTTTTCGATTTGGGCGAATATCATTCTTTTTTCATAATCTTCTAATAATGACTATATATAACCATATTCTTGAGTTTTTATTTTCTCCCACTATCATAATCTAACTCTATGTTTTGGCTCATCGGCAGCAAGCAGTAACTTGATATTTTCGAAAATTCATCGGCGTTTGACATAGTTTGGGACATAGTTGAAAGCAAGCCTCTGTCTCACGACAAGTCATTAATGAATATGGTTTGGTTTTTGGTTAAGTAGAAATTCCCTGTTCAGAGGCCATGATATTCCCGTTTTTTGAACAATGGCGCGAAAAGCATCTAAACTTCTTTAAACGTGCACATAAAAAAGTTTTCTTCCGTTTTAAAGGAAACTCCTTGACACTCCTCTTGGTCGTACTTAGCCGGCCGGATATTGGTGATTCAGTTTTAATTAATTAACTTTTAAAGAGGATCTTAGATTCGAAAATGAATAATTTGAAAGTTCTTTTGAATATTCATTTACTAATTGTTCATGTTAAGATTAGGGTTATGTTAGATAAGTTTAAGGTTAGGGTCAAAAACGAGTAGGTTTTATCCGTCTCACCAGAAAACCCTAGGAGGGCTTATTTGGGCTTGAACCCGTTTCAGTTTACGACCATGTAAAAGTTCATGTTTGGTTATAAATTGAGTTTTAATGAATAGTATAAATTATTGACGTTTCGAGTGTCTTCTTCAGGTGTTTGTTTTGTCAATGTGTCCGTTTCTTCATTTCCGTTGCTATTTACAGGTTTATTTCGTTGTTTAAATATTAGTGGGTGTTTTCATTATTCAATATTAGTCACCTATATCTATTCTGTTCTTTTTTTGTTGTCCTTCCTGCTAGCCATGGCAAAATTCATTCAAGTTGGCCTGTCTTTGGTGCAGTGAGGGTCCAATTTATATCTTTTTTTCAATACATAGTGCCAAAATCATTTTTTGTGTGTGTTTTCTTTCCATTTTCCCGCCATTTACTTTCGTGAACGATTACAAAAGGGAATTTGTAAAAATTGGATTCGATAGAAAAGTGCGAAAATTGAAAAATTTGACATGTCACTTGATAGTAGTAGAAGTATGGTATACACATAGTAGTATATCAATAGTAGCTGTATTTATATTTATACGTTGGCCAATGAGAAATCGAAAAAGTTATAAATTAAGACTAACGTAAGACGTAAAGGTCTGTTACACATTGGCCCAGGCCGTTTCATAATAATTCCAAACATATTTTTATTTACAAATTAACGCCGATTTCCACGGGTCGTGTTGCAGGAGGTGTAATTCGATACTTGCGTAACATCGGGTCATCAGTTTTCCATCCGTCGGGTCATATTCTGGGTCAATAGGAAATCGAAATCGTCCTGCGAACGGCCGGTCCAAATTCATCGGACTTTTCTTGTATATTCAGAGAGACGATTTGATCCGGGGAACTGAGAAGAATGCAGTTTCGTTTCGGCCTTTTTTTTTATAACGCGCCGTGAATCTGCCTGGCAAAAGTCATAACAGAGGAGACACTGTCCTCAGACAATAAGGACGTCCATCCCGGTACGAAACCGCACCGCGTTCCATATAGTCGGCTCGATTTGGTTTAGTTGTACCGTTTTATTATTGAAAAATTTCCCCATTTTTCCGGAGAAATCGTGTTTTAGAAAGAAGCGATGAATCGGAACGAGGAAAATCTTCAAAACATTACGAATTGCATCGCCTATTTAAGCTAGTTGAAGGATCTCTAGAAATATTTCGATTTTAACTTTAAGCTCGTGCAATGTTGACGTATTGAAAATCTAGGTGAACTATGCATCTGGCACACGGTTAACACAAATTCCTCATGAGTCTTCGAGGTGATTAAACTGCAGTTAGCCCGATTCCGAACATTTTGCTCCGCCTACACTCACTTTTTTGTCCAATTTCGGCTCCCTTCACTCAATCTGGTCTCTCTCTCACTCTCTCCATTCTCGATGTCGAATAGGCTTTCCATCGAATCTGGAGCCTGGGCTTTACCTAAAAACCGAAGGACATACCCCCAGACCTGTCCTCATCCTACAGTCCTTCGTGGCAGAGAATCATTCCAGACTAAGGGCCATATCGCCTCACTGCCCTTTGTGCAAGGGTCACTATTATATTCATTCCTCTAGGAGGGAGGGTACCTGGGTACCAAAAAGAAGGAACGTTGCTCGGGGGTCTTTCGATGTCGAACAGGATTTCAAACAAGCCTGAAACCAAGAAATTCAAGAGCATCCTTAGACCCTCATCATCAAGTCCAACGTAGTGAACAGGCGCTTTCGAATCATATCGCCTCACTCTCCTTTTTCCCATCATTTATGATGCAACTGTCCGTACCACTCAACCCTGAAGTATTTCATGATTCACCCAATCCCTAAAACCAATAAACCACCTTCGAAATTCCTACGTCTCGTCAGTTTTTGCTAATTCTTGATAAACACCTGGAAAAGCACCTCTTTAAGAAATACTCCGGATGGTAGAATCTTCTAATATAAATCCAGATCATAAGTTTAGATTAAGAACAACAGTGCTGTCGTCTTGTGGGCATCGTGGCGTCAACCGTTGAGAAGAAGGGCGTTTTCAAGAGTCTTTATCGATGTCGTACAACCATTTTATCGAGTCTGGCACTAGGAAACTTTGGAAATTCAAAAGCAAATGTATAAAAATCTCACTTTAACCAATGGGCCCGATCCTCTCAGTTCTTCAAGTCCTTGGTCCATTAGTGTACTCTTGCTCAACATACATTGCTAAAATTCCTTCCCAACCCCACACCCTTGACATGCTGATTATCCTTATGCTCCAACCGCAATCCCGTTCCAAAAACAATGGTTCCAACCTCACACCTTAAACCTAAACTTTTACCTTTGCGTCAATCTACCTCTATAATCGCACCCTTTCCTAGCGAAAATCTATTTTCTTTATCTAGACAAGCGACTAACCTGTTATCCTCTACAATCACGTGTCCTTAGATCCAATCATTCCCCTAATAATACATGTCTCATGAACCAGCTACAAAAAGTTCCACAAAAATCCAATCCAACTCTGATCTTAATGTACAACAAAATTTTCCCTCGAGACCTCTTCCCAATAATGACCTCGAAGTCTTAAGAACCACAGTGGCCTGTTCACACTCTTCTTCACTAGATGTAACTTATTTACAACCCAGTAATCAACGTCTTATTTAGATGTGAAAAAAACAAAAAAAAACAGTGACATAACAATGACCATACCTGAAAATAGTTGTTGGTCTGGGTAAATAAAGCGACTCGAAAACAATAAAAGCCGGGGGTTGTTTATTAGTCATTTGTTAAAATTCAGTCGGAAAAGATTATCCCCTGCATGTAAATAGGTAGGCGATTTTCGATCAATTTGAAGGTACAGGATTTAAAGACGAACTCCGACGTGTTCAGAAACCTGCCTGTGTACTGCCCAGAGTTTTTCAGGATCAGGCCTACTTTGTAAGCTCTTCCTCTGCAGGTCTGTATGTTATTTGGAAAATAGACCCTTAGTATTTTTTCGTTTTCGCACACCCCGTTGAAGGTCGCCCTGTGAGTCGTGTTGGTGGTCCAGTCGTGCAGGTAAATTTCGACATTTTCATATTCATCCCGATTGAATGTAGCGATTTTAGTTAATACCTGAGGGAAAAAATGAGTTGTTATAAAGCGTTATAAAATGAGGGAAGGTTGGTCTTACCATGACGCCCTTGAGCGTGATGTCTTTATCACAGGAGAAGGAGACGTAACTGTCCGTGTTCTGGAATACGGTGTGCTTCTCCAGTCTGTAACACGGCCAGTCCAGGCAGTAGGATTCTCCGAAACTGCTCACCATGCGGTCCCTGAGCATAGTCGAAAAGCCGTTGGGCAGAGGGCAAGAACTGTTCGAAGCCGTCAGATTGAGAAGGATGGCGAAAGACTGGTCCGGCTTCAAAAGAGGGCTCAGAGCTGGACCGTCGGCAAAATCTCTAGCGTTCATGTTCAAAAAGCAGATCTTCGGTACTATCTGGTCATAGATTTTTTGCTGCTCGTCTGCAAACTCATCGCCGAGAATTCCTACAAACCCCATGATAAATTTCAAATATTAACTTAAATTTTTATAGTGGTATACCTCGTCTTGTAAATTCCGCTTTCGTCCAAAGCTCCACAGCTTTGAAAAGCTCAACCTCTGTAACGCTCAGCTTTTTCTCGTCCAATATCATCATCACAGTGGAAATTTGAGCTTCTAGAAAACTAGGTGTCGATAGGACCGAAGAAGTCTTTTCGCAAATCACCTACAAATCAGCTACAAATAGTTATAAATATAGTTCGATAACGGCTTACACTTGCATTTTCACATTTTTCCATTAGCTCGACTTGATCGAACAGCTTAGCGAACTCATAACCTCTGCAGACGTTCGTCACGTTAACGTCCTTCAGAACGTAAGCCGTGCACTGTTTCAAGAGATTATGAATCATATATTTTTTGGCTACGTAGCACAGTTCACAGGCCTGGTCGAAAGATTCGATTTCTACTTTATCCGTGTAAATATACCTTAACATAAAAAGCATAAGTTAGATGAAAAGAACCCATACAAATATAGAGTACAGAGTCTCGGATGGTATCACTGATGAGATGTCTCACGATGGTATGGATAATCTATTATAATTAAACACCTTTAAGAACATCCTAATAAGTGAATATCCGATACTCGCAGCTCCTAGGGACATGAACAGGTTCTGAAATTTAAACAAAACATATAGATAGAACGTTACACCTGGGTACCAAAAAGAAGGAACGTTGCTCAGGGGTCTTTCGATGTCGAACAGGATTTCAAACAAGCCCGAAAACTATAAATTCAAGAGCGTCCTTTGATCCTCATCCTCAAGTCTGACCTAGCGGACAGGCACTTGCGAATCATATCGCCTCACTCTCCTTTTTGCACCATTTATGATTCAACTGTCCGTACCACTCCACCCTGAAGTGTTCCATGGTTCACCCAATCCCTAAAACCAATAAACCACTTTCGAAATTCCTGCCGTCTCATCTGTTTAACGCCAATTCTTGATAAACACCTTGAAAAGCTCCTCTGTAAGCAAATACGATCCATGCTAGAGACTTTACATCGAGTCTGATTCCTGGGCTTCGTTACAGAAACCCAAGGATATCCTCTAGACACGACCTCATCCTCAAGTCCAACCTGGCGGCAGGCATTTTCGACTAAGGACCATACCGCCTAACTAACTTTTTTGCAAGGGCCACCATTTATAACGCAACTCTCCGAACTACATCCTGAGTTATTCCATGGTTTACCCAATCCCTACAAACAATAAACCACTCGAAATTCCTATCGTCATCATCAATTCACAACATGGTACATGGTAAACTGCTGGAAATACATAATCATAATATATATAAAATATAATTTCAGACCATCAGATTGGATTTAGTCGTAGCCATGCCACTGTTCTACGGTGTTTTCACGATGTGAAGAACGAGGGAGTTTTCATCAGTCTTTCTCGATCTCGAACTGATTTTCCATAGAGTCTGGCACCTGGTTTTGCTCTATAAATCATAAATGAAAAAAAAAAGAATGCTTTTGCTACATGCTCTTTTGGTACACTGTTACTTTATTTCTAGAACGAAAGAAGGTACTAAATACTCGGAGTCATCTTTCAAACTGAAATCTACACAATTGAGAGATGTACTAGTTCCACGTTAATAAAGGGTACAAAAACAAAGACCTATAGCCAGGCAGCCATCAGATATATACTCAGCTCGAAAATAGTGCTGAATTATAAAGGTTAATGTCTACTCGGTCCTAGGACACGTAAAAGGAAGCTTGGAACATTTGCTAGGTTCTGAGCGTTGTGGTATAGGAATCCGTACGGATATTCTTGGAATAACCAGAACGGGAATAATGGGACAAAGGAATACCGCTAAAGGCAAACTACTACTGATATACTGACTGCTCGAAAACCGACAAGGGTACGGGAACTGGAGTCTACGGGATGAACCCAAAGATCGAATTAACGGTAAACCTGCCTAACGAAGGCACATGCACAGGATAGGCGTACAGACAGAAGAACAAGTGTGCAGATACTGCCAGGAAGAGGAGGAGACCGCAGAACACAAGGAGCCGCTGGCAAAGCTGTGGAGGCTGATTAATAACCTGAAGTTGGCTAGTGAGTGGCCTCTTTTGTCCCTATCCCATTCCCTATTCTTGGAACCAGACGTAGATAACACTAAAACCTCCTGTATTTAGAAAGAAGAGACCCATGCATCAAACTCCCATAATTCCTAACGGGGCGGTCTGAATGGGAGTGTAAGATCGGTATAAACCAACACGGTAAGTGCACGGTTCTGCAAAGAAGCAGAAATGACGCCAACTCCATTAATAAACTGTGGTAAAAGAAATGCTTGTTCAACCATAGATGAAATACAATAAAACCGGGCCTAATAATCAAATTCCTTCATGGATAGGAACTCACCGGTGTGCTGTAGGCTCTGTACAAATACCCCGAATATTTACATCTTACATCTTATCTACGGGAAAACACAACACTATTGACTCACTTCAGCATCGCTCCGAAGGCTTCCGGCTGTATGTCGACGACGTGGACGTCTGCTTTTTCCTCTATAAATCGGTTCGTGAACATTTTCTCGAAAACCGGGCTCGACATGGACAAGAAGAGTTTATGCGCCTTGAACTCCTGCGGACGGGATGAATCGTTAGAAAAGTGAGCCGAATGAGAGCTTGCGAACATGAACCTTTTTGTTTTCGTCGTTTCCAACGACGAACACGCAATCCGTCCAAAAGGAATTTTTAAGGATGTAATAGCCACGGTCTACAACCTTATCTAGCTGGATTTGCCAATCCGCATCTTCGCCTTCCATCTTTAAAAACACAGACCTGTAAGAAATCCGGTTCCTTTTGCCTCGCGTTCTAAGCTCAAACTGATCGAGGCGCGGCCCGTTTATTCTATTTACAGATTAGGATATCTATTTATATCTGTTATGCCATGCCCTAGCGCGATAAGTCTATGATGTCTTGGTTTTCCTATGGCTTTCGGTTCAAACCACATGTCTTTCACTATATTACATTTTGAATGAAAATTCTTAATTGAAACAGATGTTCGGTTTATCTTTCAAAGTCCCTTTGAGATGAGGTTCTATGAAGAGCTTTAGAGAAAAAGTATATAGATACAAAGGGCTTAGAGATTTTTTAACTACTAGGATGCCATGAATCAAGTTGTAAATTCCCGCGAGGTCTACAATTAAAAAGCATCCGATTTGACGTGATTAGCCCATGCTTTTGTAATCTAAACGGACGGACTTCGACCTTCCTCTCTCGAGGAACGGTCAAATTATCCGAATCTGTATTTAAAAACGCCACGTGGTCCGAAAACAGGCTGTAATTTTTCATCTTGACAAATAAAATCTATATTTTGTCTATTTCCATCCTGCCTTTCACGAAACGTTAATGGGGTGATTGTTGGACGGTTAATTGCGTAAAAGTTAAGGATTTTCGGATAAGGGGGCCTGAAGTAAACGGATTGAAAGTAAATTACAGGATCGTTAGACGTTCTTATGCACGCAGAGGTATTCGAACACGTTCACCGGGGACCTCGTTTTACTTGTTAACCGGGGGCTTATTTTTTGTGAGAAAGTGAAGAACTGAAAGCTCGACGCCATAGTGGCGCCATCTGCAGTCAGTTAAACCTTCTTCAGGCAGACTCCATATAAAGAAAATTCTACGTTTAAAGACCAAAAATATACAAATCCCAAACCATACTCCCTCCTTGTTCTGCTTGAGTCGCTTTGTATGATTGTAATGAATTATAAATTGAACGAGGTTATGCAAGACCATTGGGGTGATGGTAGAGTTGCCTGTGAACTTGTAATTTAAGAAATTAATGTTTGGATAAATGGATTTTAAGGCATTATGGAGGGGTACTAGTTATAATAGATAGCTTTACATCAAAAAGATTGGCGAAATTACATAGTGCAAGAATGAATGGTTCCCACAGTTGTAATAAACATTTATACATTTAACGGTTCATTTTTCATCCTATATGTATGTTGAGTACGAAATTTTTCTGTCTAAAGCAGTTGTTACACTTGAGATACGTCTCTGCAGATTTTTCTAAAGCTTTTGTGTCAAAGCAACGGTCCAAGCACTCTGTCCAGTAGTAGCCAGAGTAATCCGATCCTTGTCAATAAATTTCTAGAGTAGGACACTAGTCTGTCACAAGTCAGCTATGTCTCTGCCCCTCATCTGGAAGCCAATCATCATAGGAAGATATATATTGCGTCATTGAAGGGCACTAGGAGAATAGGTGTAGTTGGGGCATCTGTGGTGTACAGTATGTAGAGGGTTTGCCAAGCCCTCTACCCTAAGTTTCTCCCATAGCCAGTAGACAGTAGTTGGAGTAATCTGATTCTTGTCTATAAATTTCTATAGTAGGATATTTTCTGTCTAAACCAGTTCCTTATATGTGAACTATGACTGCACATCATCCTGAAGCAACTATAGGAACATAAACAGATGGTGTGTCATCGAAGGAACAATGAGGGTGGGTGTAGTTGAGACATAGATATAGAGGGGTGACACATAGAGGGTTGGTCCAAGGCCTAAGTTTCTCCCATGACCAGTAGACATTAATCGGAGTAATCTGATCAATGCTTATAAATTTCTAGAGTAGAATATGTTCTGTCTAAACCAGCTTCTTATATGTGAGCTATAACTCTGCACAATATCCTGAAGCAACTGTAGGTACATAAACATATGGTGTGTCATCTAAGGACAAAGGAGAGTAGGTGTAGTTGAGGCATCTATGGTGTACAGTAATAGAGTGTTGGTCCAAGCCTAAGTTTCTCCCATGACCAGTAGACAGTAATCGGAATATTCTGACCCTTCTTTATATGCCTGCAGAGTGGGACATTTTTTTGTCTAAACCAGTCTCTTATATGTGAACTCTGCTTATATGACTCTGCACATCATCCTGAAGCAACTATAGGAACATAAACAGATGGTGTGTCATCGAAGAAACAATGAGGGTGGGTGTAGTTGAGACATCTGTAATGTACAGTACATAAAGGGTTGGTCCAAGCCCTAAGTTTATCCCATGACCAGTAGACAGTAATAGGAGTAATCTGATCATTCTTTATAAATTTCTAGAGTAGGATATGTTCTGTCTAAACCAGTTTCTTATATGTGAGCTATGACTCTGCACATCATCCTGAAGCAACTGTAGGTACATAAACAGATGCTGTGTCATCTAAGGACACAAGGAGATTAGGTGTAGTTGAGACATCTGCGGTGTACAGTATACAGAGTGTTGATCCAAGCCCTAAGTTTTTCCCACAGCAAGTAGACAGTAGTCTGACTTTTCTGACCCTTCTCTGTAAGTTTGCAGAGGGGGTATTTTTTGTCTAAATCAGTCAATTACAGTTTAGAGAATGTAAGCCTTGAAAAGAGGACTACTTTCAATATCAAACTTTTGTTTCAGTTTTCCCCTTGTCCCATTTGAAGCACTCCAAGAAGAAGCTTCGCTACAGGCTCGAGGTAAATTACAAGACGATAAACCATGTGTTGTACGACAGAGGATGGTCTCAGGTAATGTGAAACAATAACAAAAAATAAATTGCAAAATTGGTTTGAAAAATTGTTTTCGGTCAGGTCCATGGTGAAAGCGACGCCTGGGACTTCTTTTGGTGTGACTTGAGCCACCTGGGTGCGGTACTCGAAAAAAGGCTTCAGGGGTCGCAGATGGTGCCACACTTTCGCAACCACTATGAGATATCGAGGAAGAACCATTTGGCAAGAAATATGGCACGTTATAAGTCAGTTTTTGTTGTTTTTTAATACAAAATTTTGTTGGTAAAGTTAACAAATACTATGAGATAACTAAATTGGTTTTAATTTGTTAATAAAGAAAAACGCTTCAAAGAGAAGGACGGCCAGAGGAAGCAAAATTCTGCGACTGCATCCCTTTGACTTTCGAACTCCCAGTGCGTATCCTTGCAAATGCAGTTTTATTTTTAAATAAAAAATGTTTTTGTTTTTAGGGTGAATATGCTATTCTGATGTCTTACTGCAGGGTCAATCCTGGTAAGAACTTCATAGTCAAACCGGCCATCGGTTGCAAAGGCAAGGGGATTTTCCTTTTCAGGAAGTAAGCTTTCCTTTTATTACTTTAAGGCTACTCTCATATTTGAATCTACCTTTTTTGCATTAATGGTGGTCAAATTTACCTTTGCTTCCACCTCCTAACATTCAAAATACAATTTCAAAAATTCAGGATTGGAAATTAGCCCCTGGGGCACAGGATGAGCTAAATTTTGTAACTTTACATGTAAGCACAAGTCTATCGTGTTTTGGATCAAGTTATCTTCTCCATTCCTAATCTGTCTTACTGTTTACAATTAACTATCATCTATTTCCTTATTTTTACAGTATTTGGGTTTCCTTAATTCTAAAAGCCCCATCTCACCCAGATTTCCAGATGCTGCTTTTTTTAGTACGCCTCCTAGTTTCCTCCCTTATTCTCCCCAACATTGATTACAGACATACATCAGTCCTGTCTACCCTTGCTAAACCTCTTGAAAAGTACTGTCGACCTACTTAAAAATTTCAAATCTCCTTGCTTCTCTCCAATCTGGCTTCCTTCCAGGCTGTTACATACAAACTTTATAACATTGCTAAACCTCTTGAAAATTCCATTTTTAGCATCCCTTTTTATGATGCTATGTTAATGACTTCCACAAATCCGCCAAATATTGTGTTAATTCCAAGAATTTGAAACTTAAAATCAATTAGATCATAAAACACAGAAAATGGGCATAACCTCTAAGCTTCTAAACTTTACATTGAAAAGCACAAGGCTATTGTGTTTCGATGATGTTTACAACTAACAATCATCCTATTTCCTTCTGTTCCACGATCAAGAACCTTGGGGTTTTCCTTGATCCTGAAATCCCCATATCTCCTGGATTTTCTAGTACACTCCTAGTTTATTCCCTTATCCTTCCCCACTTTAATTATGGAACTTTTCGGCAGAAACGCCCTGCTTGAATAAGGAGAAGATGGTTGACTTTCTTTGGTTTGGTCCAATTTTATCGAAGTGAATAAGATCTTTTTATGATGTATTGTGTGGTTTGTCAGTGGTAATGTGCTTATTGTTTAATTGTGAGAATTAAATTAAATTTTAGTCTTCAGGGTGACGAACATGTAATTTGATTGTTACTGATCATCTTTAGTGTCTGTGTGACTTTTGTGATGTCAAGTCATGATAGGTCTGTGTAACTTCAGTGTCTCATCTTGCTCCAACACTGAAGATGACGAAATGCCAAAAAGTCATGGACTCTAACCCAGTGAGAAAAGGCAGATGAAATTGACGAAATTACTAGTGTGCTATTGTATGCTCAATTTTTATTTTTTGAATTTTTAATTGGTGGGTTGTGTTAATCTGCCTCGAGTCTTTCTTAATGCTTCCATTTTGTGCGTTTTTTGGCCTGCGTGTGTTCCTTTATTTCCCATTTTTTAAATTATTTGTCTTTCTCTTGTATTAAGCACACCTGAATATGAGTGTAATCTTTTGATTAGTCCCAGTGAGTGTAGAATCACATAAAGAGACAGAGAAAGCTCATAAATTGTTCAACCACAATACACATAAAGACATGCAGCATAAAAAAAATGTTTGTGGATCATCAAAAATTTATGCTAAAAACCAAACAAATGCCAACTTTATCGGATCCTTACCCTTATTTGCAAAATTTGTGATTATTTGAAGTCGATCCAAGATTCAAATTTTTGTAGAATAAGGGAGTTGAATGAATGGCGAGCTACTAGAGATTGGTCTCGCAATACAACCGTTATTGAAACAAATGACAAGACTGACCAGCCAAAGATGGAAGAGAAAGAGACTCCTCCAGAAATGTGGTTGGTCCAGACGTACGTTGATGACCCGTATCTCATTGCCGGGCGCAAGTTTGACATTAGGGTTTACGTCCTCGTCCTCTCGGTACATACTTCAATAATTAGTTAAAACACAATTTACAAAACAATTAATAATCGTTCCAGTACCTCCCTTTGAAAGTGTGGGTTGCCAGGGATGGCTTCGCTAGGATATGCGGAGCTCCTTACGATCTCAACAACCTCAAAGACACCCTAGCGCATCTCACCAACACTTCTATCCAATTGGCCAGGGACAATAAAAATCCGGTAAAAATGGCATTTACCATTACCAGTTTTGAAAAACGAAGTTTATCTTTGTTTTATAGGGATGCAAATGGAGCATGAAAAGACTGAGGGAGTTCCTATGTGCCAAACACGGGACTCCAGCTTTTGAACTGCTGATGGAACAGATCGGACAGATTATCATCACAAGTCTTAAGAGTGTTCAAAAGGCGATGATGCATAATAAGCACTGCTTTGAGCTTTACGGTTATGACATATTGCTTTCAGAATCTTTAAGACCGTATGTCTTCTTTGTTCCGTCACCTGTATGAAGAGTGTAGCTTGACCTTAGACTATTTTCAGCTGGTTGATAGAAGTCAACGCATCACCTTCACTCGAAGCGACTGACGCCGATGACTACAAGCTCAAATACAACCTGCTTTCCGATGTATTCAACGTTCTCGATCTCGAAGGAATGTAAGCTATGCCCTTTGAATTTATTTTTTGCAAAACATAAGAAAATTAATAATTTTCAGTTTGGTCGGGACTGAGTTGAGAGTCGGAGGATTCGACCTTCTCTGGGATGATGGGCCTGTCCACAAGCCTTGCCCAAGCCCAGATGAATGTGGGCCAGTTTGTAAAAAACCACTACTCAACATCCACCTCGGTAAGGGACTTCAATTTGTGAGTGATATTTTTACTTTTTTTTACATTTCCCAGGAGGACTTAACGATCGAGTCAGGCATCTCCAGGATCTTCAGGATTGGAAACACCTCATGATCGACAATGCTGTCAAAATCAAGCCGGAAGATGAGAAAAGTACTAAAAAAGAAACTTCTAACCATTTGATAGGCTTTTGAACTTCCAAAAAATACAATTTATCATTGAAATTATTTAATCATCTGTAAATTTATATTAAAATTTTACTTTCTGGAAGAAAGTTCAAACACTCGATTGAAATCATGCTTCATGTCTAAGAAAGTAACCAGCATTCTTTCTACTCAAGGTAGGATTGATGATATCTACCTTGTGGCACTTTAGAGTGATTTCTCCTCAACTGAGTTGATAAGATAGAATGACATCTTTCAAAGTTGGGTTATAGGTGATTGAGCTTTTCAAGGATTATGCCAAGTAATGGTAGCAAATGTATGGGGTGATATGACAGGGTAATGCTGAGGTTAATAAACGTACCTCCTTTTGCCCCTTTTCATCGCTTTCCCAGTAGCTTTAAGTGGTACCACGGTTCAGTTTAATTGAGGAGTTATTTTTTTGTCCGGTGTAGATTGGAAGTAATAAGGGATAGCCTTGGGGTCCAAGGACTACGAAAACACCATCTAATGTATGTAAATATATGTAACTGATGTTCTACGTTTCTACGTTTCTACCTGATGTAAGAAAACAAAGAAAACATACAATTTGAAAAGAAAAAAATACATCCACGGAATGAAAAATGACAAGGAGGAATGAGTCTGAGGTGAAGGCTTGAGTGAGAACCCTGATTCCCAATTCTCTTGGTTAGCTTGTATTTCTCGCTGCTGTTGCCATCTCAGCTATTCTGGCAACACACTAGTTAAGCCAGTATTTGCGATGATACTCGAGTGGTCTTGTGGTCCCAGCATGTTGCCCTGAGGTACTCCCACAGCCAGTGAGCCGTAGTTGAATTAATCTTGTCCATAATTTTGTTGAGGAAAGTTTCTGTCTAAGCCAATCTGTAATATATAACATATATCTCTGTGGATCTTCCTGAATCTGCTGTAGGATTACTGTGTCAATGAAGAACGCAAGGAGTGTGAACTGGCCATTTCATATTTTTAACCTAGCAGACTAAAAACATGCTGAAAGTGGGAATTTTAATTGAAGTTGAATAAATCTGAATGGAAGGTTCTTGAATATAACATAATTGATCTTTTTTGTGTGTTTTATTTTCACATAAAAATAAACAAATCTTACAAAATTTACAAACTAGATAAAGTCTCAGTTAAAAATAGTCTTAAAAACGGGGGAAGACTTATAACACGCCTAATTTTAATAGTAATGAAAATAATAATGGTAAATTCAACAAGCATCACAACCAGCTTTTCTTTTTTTTCTCTCTTTTGATATTTTAATAATTTTACATTTCATTGTCTTAATTATTTACATCCTTTCTAACTTGATTATTTTAGTTTTCTGTGTAAGTAGTTATTTTAAACATTTTATATGTTTTACTGCTATATGTTAGTTTCTTTTTTTTCTTCTTTTTTCCTTATCCTTTGTGGGTTAATTCTGTTTATGTAGGGCTGAATCAGCAAGCGCAGTCGCATGCACAACGACGGACCCTTTTGTCTCTCTTGAGCAAGCTGTTGACGGATCGGATGGACCTTGGTTGTACGACTGTAAATCAAAGTTAAATTTCGTAAAATCTCTGCGTATTTTTCAGTCTGACAAGGTGAGGCTAAGGATGTGGGATCGCTTATTTAATTAATTTTTTTAAAATACTAAGTTGAAAAATTTATGAAGTCATTACTACGAGAGCAAATTACAATATGCCCTTTATGCTATAAATGCCTGGCCACAACATTAACTCTACGGTTTATTTTAGATTAGACCATTAGAAATGTTAGATACTTGAACGTCTCCTCTTTCAAAGTAGGGAACATTGGTTGACAAATGATTGGTTGACCACAAACATTAAGGAAGACAAAGGATCAAAGAAAAATGTGCTGGACCATAGTTGGTAACACAGCACAAACCTAAGGAGGACATACAATTAAAGGAAATTGTCATAGGGTCATAATAGGTAACAGTGTACATAGACTCTCGCTATCCACAGAGGATAAGTACCAAGCATCACCGCGGATAATAGGAAACATCTCGTACGCAGGCAGAAGCAATTTCTTCTATCTGCATAACAATCAGACACTTTCTGTACTGGGTGTGCCTATCGTCAATGTGATGTGTGCACTTACAACCATGGAGGAGTGAAAACATGGATAATGCATGGAAAATGTTAGAAGGATCATAGTTGGTAACATTGTCTAACCTTCCCAAAGCCATACAATTAAAGAAAAATGTCAGAGGGACTTTACTCAGTGAGCACTATACATCTACTTAGGTCATGGTGCAGATTGCCCTGTGGCATATATAATCAAAGGAAAAAGTCAGTCATTTAGTTGGTAGACTGTAAAAACCTTAAAACAGACATAACAAAAAGGAAATGTCAGTGGGAATTAAGTTGGTATTACTGCAGAAACCTAAACGATGACCTATAATCAAAGGAAAATGTTAAAGGGACATTAATTGGTAACGCTAGGCAGACCTTAAGGAAGACACATAATCAAAGGAACATGATAGAAGGGCTTTAGTTGGTTATCGTACAACCTTAAAGAAAACAGAAAATGTCAGAAGGACTTTAGTTGGTAACACTGTACAAACCAGAAGGAAGACATATAATCAAAGGAAAATGTCGATGGACGATAGTTGTAGCACTGTATGAGTATTAAGGAAGATGTATAATCAAAGGACAATGTGAGAGGGACTTTAGTTGGTAATACTGCACAAACCAGAAGGAAGACATATAATCAAAGGAAAATGTCCATGAGATTTAGTTGGTTACATTGTACAAACCACAACAAAAGCAGACCATATTTAACTAGAATTTATGTAAATTACTTTTGAAAAAAAGCTTGGCTTTTAGGAGGAGCTTAGGACCTATAATCACCCCCCCCCCAAAAAAAAAGTTTAATTGAAATCGTATGTACGTAGCTTCACGCTGTAGGTTTGTCGGTATTGTATAAACTAAAAGAAAGACTTACAATGAGGTCTATCTTGCATAGGGAGACCAGTGAATGCTGGTGGTGGAGGTGGTTTGACTGTATCCGAGGGGACAGGGTGTTCAACAACTTCTACAGGGTGGTGTTCCAGGCTGCGCCCTTCAGGCCTTGGGTGAGGCTGGAAGACCGGGATCACCTGAAAAAAAATCCTCAGTTTAGATAATCTCAAAAGAAAAAAAAACAAATAGGATAAATTACTTCTTCCTGTATGATGACCTGTCCTTCTGGCATCATCCTGTGTGGAATCTGAGGTGGGAACTTGAGGTGGACCTGTTGTTCTTGGGGATGTTGGACCATCTCATGTTGCATTTGGTGCTGGATGGCCTGATGGAACATCGGGTGGACCTGATGGCCCTGTGGGATGTGGTGGACGTGGTGAGGTATTTCGTTGGGGTGAGGGATCGGCATCTGGTGGACTTGGATCGGTATCATCATCGGCATCTGCTGCTCGACTGGTACATTTCTGTAAACGACAAACAACAGTCAAATAATAACAGAAAATTCCCTTCTGTTCAGAACACAAACTTTTTATATGTATGTAATTGTTGGAATGTTTGTTGACTTACGACTTGCTGAATCTATCAGCCTGTCTCCCTCGTACGACCTTTTCCTGATGCAAATGGACTCCGTTTTTCCAAACATCCCTTGCCACCACAACCTGAGGGTCGCTATTAACAAATTGTTAGCAAGCCACACATGCAGTTAATAATTCACTTAAATATGTACATAATTAATCTACTTTCTAATTATAATCCTGTGAGCATCTGTAAGAATGTAATATCTTGTCTCACAGACCATCTTTATTAATTAGTTAGTAATCAAATAATTTTTAATGTACCCCTATAACCAAAGATGGTAAAAATACAACCATACAAGAATCTATAGCCTTTCACCATTGTACCGTTTAGGGCTAGAAGTACCCTTTGCAATTTGTTGATCCAGCACTATATGGTTTCAACTGTTCAGTTCAATGTTAAGTTTTAAATTGCAAGTGGTAAAGTTCAACTTTTGAATAGTTTAATCACATTGGCAAAAAAAGTATTTGTGCTCAATCAGGACAGTTGTTTGGAGTTGGTGTCTCATGTCAATATGAGATTTCAGTTGTCATCGTGATGTTTATATACATTGGTTTTCTTATACTTATATGGCAGTTACCTCTGATCGTTGCCGCTTTCGCAGAAGATGGCCATCCTTTCGCCGGTGACGTGCTCCAGACGGGGGTCGGTCTTCAGGTTGACGCCGAACGGTAGGTTGACTGTCTTGGGCTGATGGTCCATCACCTCCTCGGTCCTCCTCTTCTCGACGACGCAATTCATCCTGGACCTCTGGTTCTTTTCGATGATCGACTGCGGGACAAGGATTTATAAAAATTCCATTTATCGAGGGATCGGAGGAGGACTTACGCCGGCCAGTTCGTCGAAGTTGAGCATGAGAGGCAGTTTGATCTGTACGGGCTGTTCTTGGCCCGTTTGAGCGTTCTCGAGCGCAGGTGGTACCACGGACTCGCGTTTCGTCTGCGAAGACTCTTCAGAGTCGAGCGGATCCACTAAATGCTGATAACTAGGCCTGTCTTCGATGTTATCCTGGAACAAAATCATTTGTTTGAATTAACTTCAATGGGCAATTCTACAAAGAAAAAACTATGAAACCCAATAATCACAAGGGAAGGATTTTCAATATCGATGGTCAGGTCAAAATGAAGAAAAAAATGCACATTTACAAACAATAGACTCTGCAATAATTACAGGCGTGTAATGTTCTTGAATAGTTGCTTCAGACCTGCTAGCTTTGCGTGCTTTAACGGTAACGAAAAGTTCAAATTTTTGTGCAATCTGCTTTATCTAAGCTATGAGTAATTAGGTTTGGACTTGACCACCAAAAATTGGGTAAAAGGGTAATCTCCCCGTGTGACAATAATTCTTCCGCCTTTTCTCCTTATCCGGTTGGAAAATGGGCGAAAGGACCGCAGTTTCGAAAGACATCTCCAACAAGAGTCAGGAACCGTCACGGACTTTCTCCATTGTTCCACCGAAGGGAGAATACGAGATGTCGACGCCTTTTTCAAAAGCAATCGACTTCTCCGGGGCCCCATTGTGCCTCCGGGCTTAATTAACTTAAATAATCAGTCGTGTAAATCGGTAATATCTCGTTCAGTTTCTTTTCATAAAGTTAACGAGATGGGTTCACCTTGGTAACAGGGATGAAGGATCTTCTGCATCTTTTTATTGTTTCAACCTAAGTCACTGATAAATAAACTCACTTAATCATACGAAAGTGAAAAGGACCATGGAACAGTTTACAAAGTTTAAGGAAGGAACGTAAGATCAAAGGAGAATGTCAGAGGGATAGGTGGTAACATTGCTTAACCTTAACGGAGATCGCAGAAAAGTATCAGAGAGACTTTAGAAAAAAACCTTTAATGAAGAGATATACTCAAAGGAAAATGTCAGAAAAATCAGAGTTTGTAACATAGTGTACATTGCCAAAACATAAGATCAAAGGAAAAAGAAAGAAAGGCCTTAGTTGTTAGCACTGTATAACCTTAAAAAGACATATATGAGTGTTTAATTGGTAACACTGAAGAAATTTAAGGAAGGCATTTAATCAAAGGAAAATGTCAGAGGTATTTCAGATGATAATCCTGAACAAAAAAAACCATTAAGGTAGATAGCGACCCGGTTTTAACAAGTTATTACAACTTTCATCAAACTTTATGAGATGAAAGCCTTTATGAAATGTTTTTGCTGGACAAATAGGTCGAAACGTGTGACCCTTCTAAGTTCGTGTGTTTCAAAAACGTATGCAGTTTGGCCTATTTAACTCCTACTCCTGTTGCGAAATAAATAATTGGTTAAATATTCGAGAGATTTCCCGCTAGAGTTATATCCTTGAAATTTCCCATTTTGCCGCGTGGAAACCTCGACTCGGCTAATATTCACGATGCAGTTCATGCAGAAAGGGAAGAAAAACATCACAAACGACCTTCTGTATTGTTTCAAAACAAATGAAAAGACTATTTTTGTCTTATTTTAAAAGCAGAACAGAAATGGTAAGTCGTGTTGAAATATTGCACCATGTCCTTAAAATTAGGACTGTCCTTGATGCTTGTCCCCATGCCCATTTATCACCAAGGATTCGAACATTTTTTATTAAATTTAATAAGCGCAATTTTGAGCTGGTGATATGTTCATAAATTTTCTTTCGTGACATTACGGTTAAGCCTGACAGGCAAAATAAGCGAGAACAAACGGACCAAAATGAAAGATAACAGTTGAAAATTCGCATTGAAGACTAAATTGAAACTTAAAGTCTCTTTGGCAGAAATTGGCTTTCTCCATCAAAGGAAAATGTCAGAATGACTTTAATTGGTAACTGTAAAAAAATTATGGAAGATATAGTCAAAGGAAATTATCTGATGGACTTTAGTTGGTAACATTGTACAAACCTTAAGGAAGACATAATCACAGGAAAATGTCATACGAACAGAAAAGTGTCATAGGGACTGAATTGTGAAGTTTTGACACTTTCTGGTGAAATTTTTAAAATACCATAAACCATACCATAAACTTTAAAGAAAGCATATAGTCACATGAAAATGTCAGAAGGATTTTGGTTGGTAACACTGTACAAAACCTTAAGGAATGACATAGGAAAATAAACACTTTGAGCGCTGAAGATGATCTCAATAAAGTACGAAACGTTGGCACGATAAATAAAATGTTTTTCTAAAACCTACGTCACACCAGACCGCATCTCACGACCTCCAAATAATAATTAAGAAAGATATTAAGTCGATGGAAAATGCCAGAAGGATTTTGGTTGGTAACAATGGACAAAACCTTAAGGAAGACATCCAATCTAAGGAAAATGTCAGAAGGACCTTAGTTGGTAACTTGTTTAACCTTACTGAAATGATATGACAAGAAATTTTCACTTGATTACAGTGTACAAAGTTAAAGAAAATATTTAATCGATGGAAAATGTCAGAAGTATTTTGGTTGGTGACACTGATCAAAACATTAAGGAAGACATCCAGTATAAGGAATCTAAGGAAAATGTGAAAAGGACTTTAGTTGGTAACTTTGTTTAACCTTACTGAAAGGATATGATAAAAAAAATCTTCGTGGGACTTTACTTGATAAAAGTGTACAAAACTTGAGGGAGATGCTTAATCACTGATGTCAGAAGGACGCTGTAGAATATTAAGGAAGATGTACAACCAAAAGGTAATGTTAGAATTATAGAATAATAGAAGAGAGGGTCGATAATTGATAACAGGTATAAGCTTTTTAAATAATTTTCTGTACAGTGGTTGAAGGAAGACGAAACGGGGTTCTTTTTAAAAATGATCGCACGCACTTTCCGTTTGTACACCTCAGAAATACCGGTGTTTAAAAGCCAGAGTGACATTTGGAATGATCCTCACGTTCTTTTGATTACAAATGGCCATTGTTCCAGCCAGGAACTGAAGACCAGTCACGAAGGTTCGTGACGGTGAAAGCGGAAAGGAGAATCCATCACTCCGGGAAAATGATCGCTTGGTGCTTGTTCAAGTGTGAAAAGTAAAATTGAAAAGCTCGACTATTTGTGCAAATGTTAACGTTTAATTGATATGTACCAGAGGAAGGAACTTTTCCCAGCAACTGGTGAAATTATCGGTTTTTATTAAAATATCGCTGCCGTCATGTTGTAACATAACCAGAGTGTAAGAAAGCCTGTTGCGAAACCGTGCTTTTTATGGTTAACTGTTAATCATTTTCTTTTGCACAATAGTAGAAAAGCCGGCGAAGCGTATCGAATCCGAAAAAAGTTACAATGGCTTGATTCTTTTCCTTTTTTTATCGGCCATTTTTCCATTCTTTTTCGTAAGTGATAAATAAGGAAGCCACATGTCCGCTTGCATAATCGATTCGCGGGGGAAAGTGAAAAAACGAACTTTGCCCAACTCGAGCGCACCCGAATTGAAACGCCGCTGTGAATATGAATTGGGGAACGATTGGCGAAAGAAAAGCACTCGCAAAGAGAATAGTAGATTTTTGCTTTAGCCTATAACGATGATCTCGGATTGTCGGATTATTTTATGGTCCTAACCTCTATTTTACTCAGATCCTTTCCTTGGAATTAACCTCCCTCAAACCCCAGGATTATCGCATCACTTATGGCGCACTAGTATAGCCAAATACATTGTATAAGAATTAAAATTACGAGGGAAATACACTCGACCTCCCATCGTTTCACACGTACAAAAGCTGGTTTCGATAGACTCCTGAGATACAAAGAAATAAAACCAAAATTCTAAGGAGAAGCCATAAATTCCAGCTGTAATGAAAATAAAATGGGTGAAAATGGGTTCCAAGAGGTCATACCATAGATCTTTGGGAAAAAGGCAACCCAAGTTTCAGAAAGGGTTCCTAATATATACTGATGGATCAAAGATTAAACAGGAAGTACATGGTAAAGGAGGATGAACCCAAGAATAAAAACCTTTCACTGGTACCAACTATATTTCATGATAAGGGTCAAACTATCATAGGTAACAGTGTATAACCTTAACGAAAACATATCAACATAACAAAATATCAATGGGATCATATTTGATAACAGTTTAAAAACATTAAGAATGTGGCAAAATGAAAAATGGCAAAAAAGGAGAGAAAATTCGAAAGGTTGTACGTTGAGATGGGGAGTGTCAGAGTGGATCGAAGTCAAGATAGTGGTTACAGCAGCGGCGTATTGAGACGAAGGTCATGGGTTCGAATCCCGCTCCTGACACTAACTTTTTAATTTCAACCAAGATCTTACGTAAAAAGATTAATTAATTGAAAGAAGTAATTTGGTCAATCAGACCACCAAATATAATGGATTTGTTAAGAAAATGATCAAAGGAAATTGTAAGAACCATAATAGTTAACAGGGTATGCATGGAAATGTTTGGAAGCACTTTATTTGGTAACACTGTGCAACCCTTAAAGAGAGATGTATTCAAAGGAAATAGTCACCAGGATTTCAGTTGGTAACACTGTAAGAACATTAAGGAAGGCACAGTCAAAGGAAAATGTCTGATGGACTCTAGTTGATAACATTAAGGAAGAGTGTGGTGATTAGTGACCGTTAATCGATAATTATTCAGAAATAGTGAGATGTAGGTTCGATCTTTATTGCCCTGAAGATGATCTCAATAAAGATCGAAACGTTGGCTCGATAAAGAAAATGTTTTTCTGAAACCTACATCACACCAGACCGCATCTCACGATTTCTGAATAATTAAGGAAGAGATTAAAAACCGATGTTTTAAAAGGTTTCTTTTTCTTATCGTCTTGCTCCCCTTGTTTTTAATAAAAGCACGTGACATATTTATATTTTATGCTCGATAACATGGTATGTAATTCGATGTTTAATAAACTGGATAGGGCATAGGCCGTGGAATTTACGGGGTACTCGTGTGGTACTTTTTACGCTTCACGGTGTTGCCCCTGGAATTCGTTCAGTCATAATTGGGCAAGCATTGTAAAATGGTCTGATTCCCGTCCTTTCGGTATTCTGAATGAAAACAAACGAATTCGTACTGGACTTTGCCGTTTGA